CTGGCCTCAAGTGACATTCCTGCTTTGGCCTCTCAAAACTCTGGGATTGGCTGGGGAAAGTGGCTCACACCTGAAGTTATTGCACTCTGGGAGGCTGAGGCAGGTGGACTGCCTGAGCTCAGGGGTTTGAGACCAGCCTGAGCCAGAGCAAGACCTCATCTCTAAAAAAAATTTAAAAAACTAGCTGGGTATTGTGTTAGGCACCTGTAGTCCCAGCTACTTGGGAGGCTGAGGCAAGACAATCACTTAAGCCCATGAGTTTGAAGTTGTTGTGAGCTATGACGCCATGGCACTCTACCAAGGGAGACAAAGTGAAACCCTGTTTCAAGAGAAAGAAAACAAAACTAGCTGGGTGTTGTGGTGGGCACCTGTGGTCCCAGCTACTCGGGAGGCTGAGGCAGGAGACTCACTTGAGCCCAGGAGTTGGAGGTTGCCCTGAGCTGTGATGCCATGGCACTCTACCCAGGGGGACAGCTTGAGGCTTCTGTCTCAAAATAAAATAAAATAAAGAAGAAAAATAAACAAAAACTCTGGGATTACAGGCCTGAGCCACCATGCCTGGCCCTAACATCTTTACACGCTACTTTACTTGTGTCTACCTCCACTGGAATGGTAGAAGCTTCCAGAGGGCAGACTTAATTCTCCTTCATTCACCACCTTATCCTTAGTGTCTAGAATAAAGTATATGCTTAATAAATATTCATTAAATGAACACTTAAGGGAATCACAGACACTGGGAGACAAGGGAAAAAAAAAGAGAAAGAATCAAAAGAGAGACTAGAAGTACAGACAGAGTTCATAGTTGCTGTCCCCTACCCAACACAAACAGGAGTGTCAGCACCTATCTTAGGCTGCTTCTATCTCCAACAACCCAGTGCCCCATAATAATACCAAAAGCAGCTCACATTTACTTGGTACCTATTGTTTCTGATGTCATTTTAAACTTTTTACACATAGGGACCTATGTAATCTACTCAACAACTCTATGATGTAGTCCAATTTTATAGAGGAGGAAACTGAGGCCCACATAGGTGATGAAACCTGCCTAAAATCACAAGATAGTGGCAGAGCTGAGGTTTGAACCTGTGTGTTCAAAATCACTCCTGTCCCTGACCACTTCTCAGGAGGTAGAAAAGGATGGCATCACTGGGAAAGCTAGAACTGACTAACTTCAAGTCTTACCTGAACCCACCAGTACATCTGGGTTCCCTAGGGTGATGGCTGCTGTGAAGTCAGAGCCCCGATACTCCCCATCCACCTGCCAGTTCACAAACTTCGACTGCTGGGTCTATAGGGGAGAAGGCTGGTGTGAGGGTAGGCCAGTGCTCCTGTGGCTGGGGGAGCAGCAGCCTCCATTCCCCACTCACCTGGATGGCCATCTTGGACCTAAGGCCAGGGCCCAGCTGGTGAATAACCTGAGCGTTGAGGCTGCCACTGTTGTCCATGTCCCCCACCAGCACAGGGAATGCCTGTGGGACAGAGGGCAAGGTTAGAGGTCAGAGGCCCAACACTGTGGAAGTATGTGAGTAGTGAGCCTAGGTAAGGTACTTTGGGCCAAAAAGCCTGATTTGGGAAAAATTAAAAAAAACAAACAAACCTGATTTGGGGGTCCCCTCCTCTTTGAAGCCCTCCTTTACCATTAGGCTAAGTTAGATTCCCCCTCTGGGCTCCCATGGCCTTATGTTCCCCCATTTCAGCCCTGTCTATGTTGGATTGTTATTGTTTGGGAATAAGTGTCCCCGATCCCACTGGACTATGAATCTCATGACTGTTTAAGTTACTGCTGTGTCCCCACCACAAGGCTAGGCACAGGATAGGAGAACAGTGAAGGACTGCTGGATAAAGGAATCTATGAAAAGGAAACAGTTAATAGGAGTAAACACCTAATTCAATACCATCCCCCACCCTCTGTCCAGGCCTCTCTGAGATTTTGCCCCTCTCCCTAATAACCAGCCTCTAGAAGGCAGTCTGAGGGATATTCCTAAAACATAAATCCAAGGACCATGTCTTTCCCTTGCTCCGATCCTTCCATGGCTCTCCAGTGCCCCCTAGAGAAAGCCCAGTTGCCTAGTCTGACATTCAAAGTACTGCATAATTTATAGACCAACCCTGTCCACTCCAGGTTATTGCTGTCTGGTGACAGGGCTGTTATGGTCCCACCCCTAGCATCAACCTGCACAAGACCAGGCACAAAGCAGGGGTTCAGGGGATGTTTGCTAGGTCAAACAATTACTCATGTTTCAATGCACCTTAGAGAGACACAGTCCTCACCTCTTGACACCCACAGCTCTCTCAGCACCTCTTACCTCCTCCTGACAAAGATTGCTTAACTGGTGTTTGGCTACATGTTCAAAAAGGATACAACGAATGAATCACAAAAGGAACCTCACCTCTGTGGGGCTCAGCTGCTTTGTCCCCACATACGTGACCCCAAAATGGTAGTTGGACTCCCCGATTGTGCTGAGGGCTACTGTATGGTTCACCTGGGAGGAGAGGGAAGGCTGTGAGGATATTTGATAGGCTGGCTTACTCACTGGAGAGGGCAAAGGCAGGATTTTTGGGCTCAGCAGGGTATGATGTCTGGGAGGCCTGACTAGACTGGACTCAGAAAGGATGTGGTAGGTGTGGGGCTACATACCTGATATTTCACTCCAGCCTGGATGTTATGGGGGGTGGGATATCTCTGGGTTCTGGGTTCTCAGACTGTGTAGCCAGTGTGGCACTGTATCTCCTTGTCTTTTTAAGTACCAAGAAGTCCAGCTCTTTTGGGAGGAGTATGTGCAGATGCAGGGGGATGGCTGAGATGAGATACTTCTGGAGGCTAAGGGCACCAAAAAGTCTCACCTGGAAATGGTTACTCAACCCTTTGTTGACTGTGAGTTTGACACCCTCCATCTGAATGGGAAACAGCTCTGGAGAAGAGAAATGCTGTCACACTCCATCCTATACACCGCCCCACAACTCTTGATGTTTCCTTCCCTGCCACCCCCAGCTTTCTCCAGAGATTCAGACTATCTCACAAAGTATCCCAACAGGAAAGAGGCAGCATAGCCCAGCAGACAGGATCAGGGCCTTTGTTTGTGCCCAAATCCCAGTGCTACCAACTACTATCTGACTTTAAGCAAATCATTTCATTTACATCAAAGTTGTCATCTGTAATGACTTAACAGATACCAAATGCCAAAACAGTGTTCCAAGTCTCCACCACTATCACTACCATAATCACTGCAAACCAGGATCTGGAAGATTTGGGTGTGCTCCCACTGGAACCCTGGAGACACCTTGCTGACACTGTGACCTTGGGCCTCAGTTCCTTTCCCAATCACACAAGGAGCCCTGGCTTGGCTAATCTCAAGACTCCTGAGATCCTTAAGGCTTTTCTCTACCGCTATGGCATTCCATCCCAAGGTTCCACCATGTAATTCCATCGTTCCAAGCCCCAAGTCCAACGTTCCAACATTCGATCCTAACGTCAACCCCTAACGCTCTGTTAAATGATTGCAATGATGTGCGCCAATGCTCAAGGTCCCCGGTGTCCACCCCGTTCCCCCAGATCCGGGCCATCTCCCGCCCGCCGGGGCCCCTCGCCCCTCACCCTTGCACTTCCGGTGGCACTCCTCGAAAGTGCCCGGGTTGGGAAGGCAGCCACAGGCCCCGTCGTCAGCGGTCCCTGTAGCACTGGCGGCTGCAGCTCCGGGGGTCCGTTCCGATCCCCGACCCGTGCTGGCCCCGGAGCCCAGGCCGCCTCCGAGCGGCGGCAGCGTGAAGCCCGGCGGCGAGGGCGGAGGCGGCGGCAGCCCCACGAGGGCCGGCGCAGGCGGCGGCGGCGGCCCTGCGGGCGGCGAGCTGGCAGCCAACACGTTCCCCATGGTCGCCTGCGAGGGGAGAGGTCAGAGGGCGGAGGTCAGGTCCTGCGCGCCCCGGGCTCAGCCCTAGCAAACCCTCAACCTGCCGCGGCTCCGGTACTCACTGGCGGCGGCGCCTGCTCCCGGCCTGAGCTCCGCTCCCACCCCGTGCGCCACGCGCAACCGAACCCGCTGCCGCCGCCGCCACCACTGTCGCTCCGCCCCGCCTAGCCCATTGGTTCAGTCTGCCCGGAGGTCCGCCTATCAGCCTTAGAGTCCAGCCTTCCAATAGGATTCATGGTTACGAGTCCCACCCACTTCTCTCAAAGTTCCTTTTCTATTGGTTTTCACTCGCAGGCGGGTCACGGCACACCTTCCGCCCCCTCATTGGTTCTCAGAACGCTTGCTTATTGGCTCTCAACGCCGCGGGTTCCGGCGGTAGCCTGCCATTGGCCTGTGCTGCGCATTTTGCACCGCCCACTACCGCGTTGCTCCACCTCTCCTGAAGGCATTAACTTCTTTTCTCTCCGCCCCACATAAAAGCTGCTGTGATAATTGGCCGATTTTGGCCCATGATGTATTCTGATTGGCTCTAGCGTGTAAGGGGCTTGGTACTCTCACTGGATAACGTGCCAGGGTCAAAGAACAAGTTAAGGTGGGTTGCGCGGCACATGCTGCTAGGCAGCAAGGTCAGGCCTAGCGTCCCACCAGGCACCGCGGCAGAGGGGCAGCCCCTCTGGTCCGTAGTTGCTCCTCTAACCCGGAAGTGCTGCCTTACCCACAGTGCTTCGGGACAACTCTAATCTGTTAGGATGAACCCTGCCCTCCTTCTTGTTACCCACAATGCCCCCATTACCTCTTAACGCAACAGCTGTCTTAGACCCACCCCTTTCGTTACCCGTCATGCCTCTGTTCCTCGCGTCACTGCAGCTTCTATCTTTGGCCCATTCATTCACGTCCCATTACCCAGCATGCCTCCGCCCCATTCATTCCAGCTTCTTTGTCCGAACTACCTTTATCCTATTCCTGCTTGTTCACTTTCATCGTTCTTCAGGCTCCTGTTAATTAACCGTCACATTTTGGGTTCATTACCCTTCATACTCCAGGCACCTATTTCTCCATTACTTATCACCAGGCATCTGGCTCATTCATTCGTACATATTACCCATCATGCCTTAGGCTCCTATTACAACGTTATTCATAATTTTGCCTTTGTCCTATTTTTACTTGCTATTTATCTGTTAAACTTGGGCTTGTTGTACTCAATTCCTTCCATTTTAAATCTTTGTTCTATTCATTTCTGTCCATTACCCATTAGACTACAGTTGTAACAATTCCTGGGACTCTTCCCATGTCCTTGAACTATTTACCCATCATAATTTTTGTTTGGTTGGGGTTTTTTGGTGTTTTTTGTTCGTTTGTTTTCTTTTCTTTTTCTTTCTTTTCTTTCTTTTTTTTTTTTTGAGACAGAGCCTCAAGCTGTCGCCCTGGGTAGAGTGCCATAGCATCACAGTTCACAGCAACCTCCAACTCCTGGGCTCAAGCGAGTCTCTTGTCTCCGCCTCCCAAGTAGCTGGGACCACAGGTGCCCGCCACAACGCCCAGCTATTTTTTGGTTGCAGCCGTCATTGTTGTTTGGCAGGTCTGGGATAGATTCGAACCTGCCACCTTAGGTGTATGTGGCTGGCGCCTTAGCCACTTGAGCCACAGGCGCCGAGCCGAATCGTTTGTTTTCTGAGACAAGGTCATGCTCTGGTGCTGGGGTTAGAATGAAGTTGCATCATTCTAGTTTACTGCCACCTCAAATTCCTGTGCTTAAGCAATCCTGCCTTAGTCTCCTGAGTGGCTGGAACTTCAGGCACCCACCATGCCCAGCTAATTTTTCAGGGTTTTGTAGAGAGGGGATTTTGCTCTTGCTCAGATTGGTCTAAAACTCCTACCTCAATTCATTCTCCCACCTCAGCTTCCCAAAGTGCTAGTATTACAGGCATGAGCCTCACCTGGCCTACCATTTTGTTTTTGACTTGATGCACTTTTGCTCATTACCCTCTTATTCTCTTTGGATCTTTGGTCCTTTTCTTTTCTGTCTGTAATATCTTGACTTCTGGTTTACTGATTTCCCTTAACCTTTATTCATTCCCCACCCTGTCCCTTCACATCACACAGAATACACAAAAGACTTGGTCAAAGTATAAACTCATATGTTGTAGGAAATGGTTAGCTTACAAAACAATATCATATCCCTACCTTCAACCCAGGTGACCCGAAGGGGGATGTTTAGGTCTCATGCCACTGGTCAGGGGTAAAAGGATTCAGTAGTCTTCATGGTAATTTCAAATTCTTCTCCCAAGGTTGGGGCTATCAAGGCACACTCTGCATGAGGCTGGCCCCATCTAGTCCTGGGTTGGAGCTTCAAGCTCTGTAGACAGGAATTGGGGCTCAGGGAGGGGTCCGGACCCTGAGACTCCTGCCTGCAGGAGGGAGGAGATAGGAAAGCTCTACCTTGGGCTGGGGAATCCCTTCCTTCCACCTCTGGGGAATGAGGTGGGGTGGGGGCAAATGGGGCCCTGCCGCCTGGAGGGCTCAGGTCTGAGCAGCAGGAAGTCCCTAACGCATACTCCAGACCTATTGGGAATTTACTGGCTGAAGACAAATCCTAGGTCTGGGGTCTGCTTTGGGATTTGGGGGAGTCAAAATGTTGGTGGAAGATGAGAGGTATGGTTTAAGGTCACAGTCTTATGAAATAAGGTTACCAGGTCTCCATTGTCACAGCAGTTTTCTCTGGGTCAATGATCAGGGATTAGAGGTCATAATGGAGCCGCCAAGGTAGAAGTCACAGATGGGATGCATGTGTGTTAAATGACAAATGGCCTGGCCGGAGGTTAGGGGGCACTAGATCCCTAGCAGAAGGCTAAGAGATCAAAAATGAGAAGTGAGAGGCCAGATCCATGGCAGCTCACACATACATGGCCCGGGACATGACAAAGCCTTTGCCTTGGTAGGAATCAGAGGGGCTGGTGTAGGACAGGGCATCGTAGATGGGGTTGATCTTGTCCAGATAGTCTTCCTCCTCTTCCTCTTCATCCTCTAGATCCAGGGAAGTTCCCTCCACAGCAGCTGGCCCTGGAGGCACCAGGATGGGGGGTGCCAGGCTGGTGGCTCCAAGGAGCAGGGGTCCTGACCGTTCTTCCAAGGTGGGCAGCTCATGGTATCGAGGCATTTCCTGGGGGAAAGGAGGGTGTGGGAACTTAAGGTCACCTCCTGAGCATGACAAAGATTCCCAATCTGCCCCTTGACCCTAAATTCTGACCACCCTCTCTCCATGCCAATCAGATCTGTCCTCACTCCTTGTCACTCCTTATCTCCTGACCAATATTGCATTGGGATAGTCATACAGTCTATGACTGGCCCAGAACACAAACCTAACCCAGTAAATCCTGGGCTTCACATTAGTCCCTTGATCCCCAACCCCAGGTCTTTTCCCATGAACTTTTCATCCTTTTTACTATTTATTTTATTTATTTATTTATTTTTTTAGAGACAGAGTCTCCCTTTGTCACCCTCAGTAGAGCGACATGGCATCATAGCTCACAGCAACCTCTAGCTCTTGGGCTTAGGTGATTCTCTTGCCTCAACCTTCCAAGTAGTTGGGACCACAGGCACCCTCCAGAACGCCTGGCTATTTTTTTGTTGCAGTTTGGCCAGGGCCAGGTTTGAACCCACCACCCTTGGTATATAGGGCCAGTGCCCTACTCACTGAGCCACAGGAACCACCCAAACCTTTCATCCTTGATCCCTAAACAGCCCCTCCAAACTTGACATTTCTCAATCTCAAACCAGGTCCCCTGGCCTCTAGACCACTGAGGAGAGTGAATTTGTCTGTCTTGTCCCACCACAGTATCTGCCTAATGTAGGTACTCAGCCAATTTTCATTGACTTTAAACTCAAACCTCATGTCTTTGAATGTTTTCACCCTGACCCCCCCAACACACTCACACACACACAATCCTGAATGCATCTCAATGCTCTAAGTTCTGACCAGACATAGCCCTGACTTTGAATTGCGAGCTTTAGTCCGTGATATCTTCTGTCATGACCTGACCCCTGTTTCTTTTATTTTTTTTTTTTTGCAGTTTTTGGCTGGGGCTGGGTTTGAACCCGCCACTTCCGGCATATGGGGCCAGTGCCTTACTCCTTTGAGCCACAGGTGCTGCCCTGACCCCTGACTCTTAAACCCAGATCCCAAACCCACCCCTGTGCTCCCAATCTCTTACCTGCTCAGCACATGAGACGCTAGCATCAAAGTAAGGGGTCTTGAGTGGGCTGTGTTCAGAGGCCCCCAGAGTGAAGAGCTGGGAGGGCTGTGATAGAGGGAAAAGGGCAGGTCAGGATTCCCCTCAGCTGCACCCCCCCTCCAGGCAGCCTCCCAGCCCTAGCCTCAGTGAGAAAAGGTGGGTGGGGAGGCAGGGGTAACGGGCACCAGGGGACATGCTCACCATCTCTGGTTCCTCCAGCTTTGCCTTTGGGGTTGGTGGCTTGTATGAGGGAGGTCCCTCTAGGCTGTGGGGTAGAAGGCAGGTGAGGTGGAAGCTAAGACCTGGGAATCCCTCCTACTCTAGGGATGCTGTATATTCTGATCTTTCTACCCCGATCCCTTACCTGGAGTAAGAGATCTTATTCACCCCCACAGTCACATTGAGCTGTGCTTCCCCTTCAGGGCACTTACTGAGTTTGTATTTGAATGTTATTTATGATATCTTCAATTACCATGCCCTACTATGAGCTCTGCTAGGGAAAGAATGAGATCTGTGCCGGGATGTGAGTGGCTCACTCCTGTAATCTTAGCACTCTGGGAGCCCAAGGTGGATGGATTGCTTGAGCTCAGGAGTTCAAGACCAGCCTGAGCAAGGGTTAAGACCGCCTTTTCTATTAAAAATAGAAAAACTAGCTGGGTGTAGTGGCAGGCACCTGTAGTCCCAGCTACTGCAGAGGTTGAGGCCAAGAAGATTGCTTGAGCCAAGGAGTTTGAAGTTTCTGTGAGCTATGCTGCCATTGCACTCAATCCCAGGGTGACAGAGTGAGACCCAGAATCCAAAAAAAGTAGAATGAGGGGCAGCGCCTGTGGCTCAAAGAAGTAGGGCGCTGGCACCATATACGGAAGGTAGTGGGATCAAACCCCTCCCTGGCCAAAAACTGCAAAAAAAAAAAAAAAGTAGAATGAGATCTGGGTCATCAACTCAGGGTTCCAGAGCCTGCTATGAGTAATTCAGTGAATGTCTGTGAAAAGAATGAATAAACAGGCTCGGCGCCTATAGCTCAACCGGCTAAGGCGCCAGCCACGTACACCTAAGGTGGCGGGTTCAAATCCCCAGCCCGGA